TCCTTATCTTTTTTAAAGTGACTTAAAGTTACCGCGATACGCGTCACGGAATATTGTAATATCTTGACTTTACGTAACATTTATGGCGCGATGATGTTCTCTACGCACGACTTTTCACCTTCTCAGCTAACTTTCAATGTAATTAAAACGTAAAATCGAATTATTCGTTTAATATAAAAAAATAATGAACTTGGCAAAATTGATTTCGACGTAACTAGCAATTTTATTCGATACTTTCACCGATCTTATTTAAAATTAATAGTTAAAAGAGGAACACGTCCCATCGCTACGATGTTTCGTCAACGACTGAAAAAAATAATGGCTTGACGAGAGAGTTCGAACATTTCGTCGTCGTCCAGTTTCGCTCTACAACACGTACGGCTTATCAGGGAGCGAGTCCAAAGAGGATTAAACAGGCCAAATGTTGATGCGTAGCCGCTCGGAGAATTATCTCGACAGGTCTTTGACTCGCGTCATAACGCGATATCGACGACAGTTCTGTCCAAGACCCTTCGCGAAGGGATTAAATCGATAGCGGCGAAAGCGCGCATACATTGTCGCGATAACTCGGGGGAAACTCGAAGCTGGCTCTATACACACGTCGAATGGACTTTGCATCCGTCTACCGTCGCTAACCCTCGCCGTAAACCACGGAGGTGCATTTAATTCCCTCGTGCTTGAAAATCCTTACGACGACGTCATCCCACGAGGTCGTTCTCTCTCCTCTCTTTTTACTCCTTTCTTTAATAGGCACTCTTCGCCCTCTCCTCGTATAACGCTAAAGAACCTCTATATCGGGAAAAACATACGGCGTTCGGGATGGAGTTTGAAATGAGATTGTCACCCGAGAAAGTGTAGGCTGATGATATTATGTAGTATACGCGAGAGCGTACTTGCTAATTGCCGAAATGGAGCTTCGATTCGTTTTTTCCTATAGCCTGAGATCCGCAATTTCTCCGGCAGGAAATCCGAAGAGAAGCTCAGATTACATAGGGCGAAGGAAGGCGGCGCGAGGAAAATCGGCGTTAAAACCAGCGTTTCCTCAACAGTGGCACTAAAAGGCGCTACCTATCTCCCTCGGTCTTTCGCAGGGGCGGCTTTGCGGCCTCTTTAACGCCGGTATAGCCTTATGTTTAACGTTTACGGCTGCGCGGGGAGAACTGTCGCGCGCGAACCAGACTCTGACGGATATTTTATATTTTATAATGTCGTCTAAGAGGGAGAGAGAGTGAAGAAACCCCATCGTTTCCTCTCAGATATAAGGAGGAAACGAGAAGCGAATTTATTTCCCGCGTGAATCTGAAATAAGTGTATCTGCTTTTTTTTATCCAGAGTTAATATAAGTGTGTACATTTCTAATGCAATATATCGCTATTAAGAGGATGCTGACCATGTCTGTTTCACTGACTTTGAGTTCAAGGGCTTTTTTTTATTGGCCATACAGATTGAAAAATCCTTCTCCACAATTAAAATACTGATAATAATAAACGGGAATCGCTGTAATTTAGTATAAAAGAAACAATAAAAGTTAAAAAATTACAGTTCTCTTATCGGCCTCTTGCATCAGCTCGTAACAATAGTTATTTAATACAAAAGTCCTGCAGTTTATTTGTGCACAAAATATGGCGCTCCCAACAGAGACGACATGAAAGAATAACACCGAAGTAATAAAAATGAGATTAAAAGCCTGTACCAAAAGATTCGTACTTGAATTAATTATGAACCTAACCTAACTTAAAGTCGGTAAAACAGAACTACGACAGCATCCCTTTAAAGCGCGCAAGCGGTGTTGGAGTGTTTTGACAGCGCGCGATGTCGACAACTCTCTCTCTCTCTCTCTCTCGCGTCCTCGAGTTATTTCGAAATTTCCTGGTGTATGATATGTAAAAGATTACGTTGATTATTTCTGTCAATCACAAAGTATATTTTAAATATATCCGTACGAGAGGTTAATATCGACAGTCGGAGTTATTAGCGAGCCGTCGAACCGCTTGTGAAAAGAGCCCCTGCAAGCATATCGTTCAACTTAATTTAATTTGTCGCGCGCGTCCAGAAATTCACGGCTTTGTCGGCGCTTTGCGGCGGTGATCGATTAGATCGTCACGCGAGAGAATCCGAATTGGCCGTTGAATTCTTCGTCCGGCTGGTTCGGGCGGGGCTCTCCCATCCTCTCCATCCCTGCCGAACACGTTCTGCCTGTTGAGTCGCAATGCACTGTCGCGCGCAAAAGAGATTTAATTAATACAATTGACCCCGCGAGAGTGCGGGTCGGTCCTCGCCCTTGTGCCGATCGCCTTGCAATTTCAATTCCTCTTTCGGAATGTGCACTACCGAGCGTGAAGTCGACGCAGGACTGTTATCGTCGCCCTCGGCGTCGACGTCTGGATTAAACGCATTTTCCAAATTCCGTCACTCGCGTGGGGGAAAGGGAAGGGGAGGTCTCGCAAATCCTCCTTTGATGTGCGCTTTGGCGTCACGGACAACTTCTTTTGTTCCGCGAACACAGTTGATTCCCAGCCCGAAATCGCGTTATCCCGTGAGATGTACCTACAGTTCGACCGCTATTTCATCGCATTTTCTCGGGATTTATTTTTTTCCCAATCGCCGACAGTCCGCATCAATTTTTTCAGATGACCAAGTATATAATAAAATTGATTGTTGAAAATCAATCGATCGTGTCGCAAAATCGATATACCTAGATATTTAAAGCGCGCTCGGAAATTTATGCGTGTACACCTGTGTAACACGTGTAATACGCAAGTCCGGTAATTGTACCTGTCATTGCGCACCGAGACAGGCGGAGAGAAGGAGAGAGAGAGAGAGGAGACCGACAGGCGTACTTGTCGCTTTACGTAAAGCGTTTAGAAACACGACATTTTTGTTCCCGCGCGTTCTTCTTTCTTTCTTTCTTTTTTTAACGCCTCCGCCCCTAATAATGCTCGTGTCACCAGCAGACGCATTAACGTGCGCTTTCCCTTAAATAATGCTCCGCGAGAGCAAGAAAGTGCACGTCAGTCTGCTCAAACGGGCTCGCGCAAGCTTAATTAATGCGACTTTCGCGCATTTCATTCGTTTTCAAATTTTATCGCTGGAAATTCTAACGAGCGATATATTTTCGGCGAAATCGCCAAAGTCTGATCGCTCGAAAAGCTCTTTTGGAAAGCAAATTTTCTTACAGCAAATGCGTTGTACGCATTTTGAACGGGGTAGAAAAGAACTCGACTTGAATGTATATCGAGATTTTATATCGGAGCGAAGAAACAGAGAGAGGGAGGGAGAGAATAAAAGAACGAGTTTAACTCTGCGATCTGTGAAATTTTAATCGATATCGGATTCAGATCAACAACTTTATTCAATAGTAACGACTGTTTGAAACACGCGACCGTGGATACATCTTTTTTCTTCTATTCTTTCCCTCGCTAAAGAAGAATCCTATTGTATTTCATTGACTTTTTCTTATATTTGAGTTTCTTCTCATGTTCGACGAGAATTGAGAGTTTATGAGAAATGAGCCGTACCAAAGTTGCCAGATTGAATTGTAACGAATGGTTACGCAAAGAGAGAAAGAAAAGAGCGCATCATGACATGCGAGTATAAACATTGACTTGCCAGAACATACGAACAATATTTGCATTCTTCTGAAAATCCATTATGTACGATCGATGGTATGCTTTTTACAGAGTGCATCGTATATTTATATTATTCATTTATGATATTAATGAAAGAGAGAGAAACCGATAGATAAATAGTAACAAGCCGAAAAAAATAATATTTTGTTTGAATTTTAATTCTTTATGAAAATTTCGTCTCCATTTCCATAATTTTGACGCGGTAAAAACGTAACGATAAATATGAAAAATATGAACGCGATATAATAATACATAATTAATACATATATATATAATATAAAATTTAAAAATACATTTTGTGTGACTGAAAAATATATCGCATTAATTCATGATTCGTAATAAATCTCGGTGCTTTATCGAGTCGTCCTATATAATAAGAGGTCAGAATCTGCGATCGAATATAAGTGGGTGCAAAAGTGCACCTTTATTTTCAATTTTCATAATAGCTATATCGATCGGTCCGTTCCGACCACAGAAGCGCAGAGTTAAGATTGTGCATGTACATGTGTTTGTGCGTGCGTGTATATATAATACATATATATATATATATATATATATATAAATGGGATGCGCGATATAATCGAAAAGGGTGATGCGGGAGTGAGATGAAGAACGAGAGAGAACAAGGGTGACTATAACGGGTAGCTAACAGAAGAGGACGAGGTAGATATCAATCATAGGGGGCTCAGGCCTGTCAAACCACCCTGACTGCGCGCGACGATAAAGACACCGAAATCGAGCGAGACGCCGCGCGCTTTTGCCTTTAAACTTTAAAGAGAAACAAGTTGTTCGCGGGCGGGACGGCTTTTTTTTATATATGCGCGCGGAACGTATAACACGTTCATTCAATTATTCATCCGTTTAATTTACAAAAATGGACGTTTATCCAATTTTTATTTTAAGCTTATACGGATATCGGCGATCTCGCCCCTTTCTCCGCTTAAGGAGAGTTTCGGATTTACGGTCGGTTTCGCAAATGATTTTGATAAACTCGGTATAAATCGCATATATATATATATATATATAGATATATTTACCGAGTTTACAAGCCTTATATACCCACGCGGTAGATGCTTTATACTACGGTATGGTTCTCTCTCTGCGTGCTCACATATAGCGTATTCTTCTTCCTCTGAGGGAACTTTGGACGGGTCGGAGGAAAACTCGAAGAGGAGGGGACAGAATGGAAAATAATAACTTTTCATTACGCGCGATATATAAGCGCCACTGGTTGCACGATAAAACTAAGGCAACGTAGTCGTCAACGACGAGCTTCACCGTCGCGTTTTACTTTTCTTTCGTGAGGAAGTAACTGCGATACCGAGTGTGTTATTGCATACATGTATAGACAATGTGTTTCTTCTGTTGCAGGAAACCATCGAGCTGAAAACCAACTCTGTCTCCATGTTCCTCGCCGGTGAGTTTTCACGTAAATAATTGATCGATTATTATTGCGACTCGATAATGGCAATTAAAATACTGTCAACAATTGTGATTAGAAACAGCAGCTCGCCCATCAGTTCCCTCAGTTTATTTTTCAAAGTTTATTCTTCTCGGGGTGAATTGAATTATTTCGTTCGTTCGTAATGAGAAAAAAAATCCACACCCTTAATTGATAAATTTCTCGATATCAGGTTTGAGTGTAAATGTAAGAATGATTAATTTTTGGGGGAGATGTTTCTTTTTAATCTCTTTGTTCCTTTTTACGTCACGCTTGTTGACAGGGTATCGCGTTATATTCATACTGTATTATATGATAATAATTGTCTGTCAAGTAACAATAATATGGTGTAACCTAGATTCGCATTCGTCCTCGCAATATAATTCCCGCGTAGCGCGTTTGCGTCGGTATACATGTATATATACAGGGTGTGCCGGTGGCGAGTATAAAATATACCGAACTCGCCGTAAAAAATCGATCGCCATGAATTCAAACGTTCAATCGTAAAAGGCAATTGCGAGAGAGCGAATATTTTCCGCGATGATTAAACATCATCGAGTACGTGTATATACGCGTATTGCGTAAAAATTGTATACTAGTAAACGATAATCGCTCGCAAACGAGGCTCGTTAATTCTCTCGAGATTATTTCCAAGATAGACGACGGGGGTGTGCTTGTATGAATTGGCGTGTGTTTTCGAAAAGCGCGATCCCCCAAGTGTCCCCTAGATCCCCCAGATCCGGGCAAACTTCCGATCCACCCTGTAGATCGGCGCGTGTGTTTGTATACCGTGGCAGAGCAGGCGGCGCAATATCCGAGCTACCTGTCGGCTATCAACGTCTTCGTGCGATTTATCGTGACGTTACACGCGAGCCTTTCCGCCTCCGACACCCCTTTCAACCCCTTTTCCGCCGGAAAACTTTTTCAATTCGTGCCGGTTTCTCACTTATTAGCGTCCCGCGAATTTGCCTGGCTATTAATCCTACTTCAGATCTTTTTTCCTCGCTCGCGTATCCGCCGGAAATCGACGGCCGGATGTGGGTGTGCGTGATGACATCTCAACCGAGCCCGGAAAAATGGGGCGATTATTATTTCTTCAAATTGAAGAACTCGTTTGTCGTCAGGAACGCGAGGGACAAGCTGGCTTTCGGATATATCACGAATAGGGATGAAATCGATATATGATTATATTTTTTGTTAATAATGATATATTTTTGTGATGACTATCAGATATTTTACGCTCCGCTGCGTGACATAACGAGATCAATTGCGGTAGAAACCTTCATTTAACGACCTGAACTTTGTCGTGACAAGATTATCGCGGCGTACGTAAACGATTTGGAGATATACGGAAACAACCCTTGTCGGAGTAGAGTGGTATTTTAAATAAAAGAACGCTCGGTTCTCGCAGATGAGCAGATAGTACGCGTGTTGAAGGGGAAATGCGCTGTTTACGACGCAACAAGTACAAAATTCCGGCGAAAGATGAATATTTTATAAAACACAGAGAATGTAATGAGAGAGGAAGCGACACGCGTGACAATAACGCACGAACTCGCGCTTAATATAATAAATGTTTCGGTCAACAAATTTTTTGTCCTTTCTACACGGTGCATACACGTCCGTCACATCGGATATAGATCCGCTCGTTGCAATTCGTCGTGCATTTCCGATCGAGGTCGAAAGAATAATCGAAACGCGCGAGAGGGACGTATACAAGCGTGATTGGGAGCGGCGAAATTAATTTTCTCGATGAGAAATAATCCCTCAGATTGCGAGGAGTCGATTCCCCGCGACCGCATGTACGCGGCATTAATACATCCACGTGCGCCGCAGTTTGCTATGCACAAAGGGCGAAGGGCGCGGTCGGCGCGCGGGGGTGGAAGAGGGGGAGGGAGGTAGTAGAGATATTAATGCCACCGATTAATGCTCTAAACGTTACGTTAATCGCCATTAGCCGTTCGCCGGTCGGACTGTGCGCGCAGATCAACATTGTTTGCTGATCGCATACGCATACGCGCGTATACACATATATACACGTGTACGCGTATACGCAGTCCCGCGCGCACGTGCGCGTTGTCATCCTGCGAGCTGGCGAAATACTCTCCACGCTTTATGTACGCTGCGCGAATATAAGCGTGCCGCGGGCACATCCGTCGTTACGATCACGTTCCGCTCGTATTATAACGAATTACCGACGATGATGAAACACGCCGGTGGAAACGAGTGACAGTGATTAGTAAATGAGTTGTCGCTGTTTCGTCGTCCTCGTCCGTCGTCTGCTCTGGGGCTGTCGCGCGACGTGAGCTGTCAAGCTCGCAAACGGATTAAGGCTCGTTACGCGCGAATCGATCCCGAGTGATTAGTTGGAATGATTTATCTCTCTGTCTCTCTTCGAGAGCCATCGCTGTATTTTTCGTACTCGCGGACTCGGATCCCCTTTATCCGGGGATGGAATATGAATATCTCTTTTTTCTTACGAGAGAGAACGCGTCGCTGTATATGTATTGTATATAGACCCTTTGGAATTTTTCGCCAAATTTTTCCCTCCAATCATGAATTTACCACCCTTCCATATTTTGAATAGCGTATAAATCTGAACAAAATATTTCGTTTGATTTAAAACTAACTCTCTTCGTCGCATTCCGTCTGTAATTATCTAAGTTTTACAATCGTAATCGTATACACAGCCACTCTTTTTTTTTCTCTCTCTCTCTCTCTCTCGACGATCCTCAATTGCGAAAAATCACGTTCGATACTGAAATTCCGTCGGTTTCCGATTTGAAAATTTAATTGAAATTCCCGACTACCGGGAATGAAAAGTAAGCGTTGTTTGTTATTAAATAATATCGCGCGCGCGATACACCGTGTTAATATTGACATTCGACGATAGGCTACGCGGACGTGCGTAACATCAGATTAACGTTGCAGTGTGAAAACGCGTAATCGATATGGTTGCCGGTGCATTTGCAACGATTTCACGATTTGTAGAGGCAAATATATTTCGGCGATATCAATTTGCTCGGTTTATATCACGGTGCACTTCTCTGTATCTCTCTCTCTCTCTCTCTCCTTTTACAGATCTAAAGTTTTGCGCGATGAAAAATCACGCATACGATTTGTTTTGTTGTCTGTACATACGCGCGTGTAATGAATTGTATTATATCTCGTACGTGTTTTTAATGCAAAGATTTACTTTAAATACGTGGAAAACAATATGTTTGCGAGAACAGCTCTCTGTTTTCCTTTCCTTATGGATGTAAAGGAAAATAGGAGATCCCGATATTGGGGTTTAAATCGATTTAAATCTTTATTCGCGTCTATATACATATATATTACAGTTTAACGACGTCAGGGTTCGATTTAATCGTAAATTCCGTCGCATCGAAATTCAAACCTGATCGATAATTACGTGCGATTCGCGAGTTGGGTCACATGCAATTTATTACAGAAAGCTTATGTGTTTTCGTCACGATTATCCTTTTGTAAAATTCCACCGAGTGGACGATATCACAAAGCTTTTACGGAATAATTTGCTATTAGGCATGTTTTTGTTTGCGCAAAGAGGATGATTGTTGTTATCGCTGTTGACAAATGTCGGTCACGTAAATAAAATAAAAATCGATCCGCGAAAAAGGAGAAAGAGAGAGAGAGAGAGAGAGAGAGAGCGCGCGCGCGATAATCGCTACATTTGTGCGATAAAAGATTACGATATGGCCGCGCGTTTCCATTAATTTAATAACGGCGGCTCATGAACGTCCGAAACGGGCGAAACTTTTAATTATAAATATTAATCTCGCGCGCGCGTTAAAGGCAAACTGCCCGGCGTGTTGCTAGAAAGCGTGGATTGTTAAAACGAAATTAACGCGTCGTATATACAGGGAAAAAGTCGATCGGGTTTTAAAACTTTCCCGTTTATACGCGAATACAAATGATACATATACACACACACACAGATATATATATATATATATTTTTTTTTCTCGTGCCTATATCGTGACGAAAGTGATCTCGCTTAACTTTTAATTGCACACATCCGGCGAAAAAAGGGACCGGAAAAAAATGCCGATGCGATAAATAATTTTGCACGGTAACTCGTCGCGTGGATACAGAATGTAGAAATTAATTACTTTATTACGTTGATGATTCGAATGAAGAGATATGCTATTGCGTTATTATGCGCGCATGCATTATAATGCCATCTAATGTTATATAATTTGGCGTAATATATAATATATCTTGTACTCTATCTAATTAACTTTTGACTAATTTCATCCTTTTTTCAATGCATCGTATTTTTACAGCAGTTGCTGGGCGGCATTCTCTTTCTCGTTAAATTTATAAGATTTCCGATAATACAAAGGCCCTTTGTTTTTTAACATTTAAAATTGCTTCGAATATATTGGAGTATCAATTTATTGGCAGAAAGGTTAAGTATTAAGGGGAATAATCTGATAATTTAGAAATGATTGGAAATATCGCAATCAATCACGTGATTCTACGCGATCCTCGCTAATCACGTAGTAAATGTCATTAGTACCTATTATATTATAGCAATATCGTGAATGAATAAACGATAATATCAAGTCTTTTGGATGAGGTAAGGGGTGATATTTTATTCTAATTGTGTGTGCTATTCGAACGGTTGATTTATTAATTAAATAGAGCTGTGCGCTATATATATATATATATATATATATATCTCTGGTGGAATAAAAGGTGGGATCCTGGGGTAGTTGGAGCGAATCAACTCGCGAAAGTCGCGCGATATTTGACGAGGGTAGAGTCCCCGTGGCAATTAAATCGCGGTGGCGGGGAAAGGATCTAACGCGCGTGTCGAATCCGAGTCAAAGCGATAGAGGCCTGTGTGTTTTAAGCTTCTTAACGGTTCTCTCTCTCTCTCTCTCTCTCTCGATGGCGCGCGCGAGCAGCGACTGTCAAACGCGAAACGTCAATCGACGCGTCCACGAGCAATT